CCGCCTTCGTCGTCTCGAAAATGCCAACCATACCCGAGAGGATTTGATAATTAAAGAATTTCTCGGCGTCTATGGTGCTGGTCTTCCCCAGGCCTCCAAATGGGTCGCGCAGGGCTACAGATCTCTGCAGGATTTATTGCAAAGGGCTCCATTGACTAAGCAGCAGCGTATTGGGGTGGAACGTCACAGCGACTTCGCGCAACGAATCCCCCGCAAGGAGGTCGAAGCCCACGGGGCGATCGTGCGAAAGGCGGTGCAGGCTGTGGATAGGGGTATGCAGGTGATCATCGGGGGCTCTTACCGCCGCGGGGCACTCACCTGCGGGGACGTGGACTGCCTGATCACCAAACCCGGTGCCTCGTTGGAACAGATCCGCACCATGATGCTCGGTCTTGTTGTCCCCAGATTGTTCAATAGTGGCTTTCTGCAGGCCAGCCTTACCATCTCGTCGCATCAGGATGGATCCAAGTGGCACGGCGCATCAGCCCTACCTGGCACCACCCTGTGGCGCCGGATAGATTTGTTGTTCGTTCCTGATGCCGAGATCGGGGCGGCGTTGATATACTTTACGGGGAATGATATATTCAACCGGAGCATGAGATTGCTGGCACGCAAGAAAGGAATGTGCTTGAATCAAAAGGGTCTTTATGCGGATGTGCTTCGGAACCAGCAAGTGAAACTGAACGGGGGCCGGCTGGTTGAGGGCCGGGATGAACGTCGGATTTTTGCTCTGTTGGGTGTGCCCTGGCGACCTCCCGAGCACCGGATTTGTTGATGACGCACACGAAGGTTTCCACGGCATGATATAGTCTTGGTTTCATCCGCATGGGAGTATCCGCTGCGGTGACAAATATTCTTAATGTTGTTTATGCTGGCTACATACAATATGGTGCCCGGGAGGAAGCACCGAAATATAGATAGGCACAGGAATGACGATATCTTTGGATTGGCGGTTTTCCTACATGTAGGGATAGTACTAATTATTTGTATCGTTGTGTATCAAGTAGATACAGACTATTGATCCCCAGAAAAAGAAAAAAGAAAGAAAAATGATTCAGCTTGCATAATTTCCCATACGTAGAGTTTCCATACAGGAGAGAGAGCGAGAGATTCAGAGGGAGAGGCAAGTCACAGTGGCACAAAGTGACTAAGAATTCCTCTCCCTCCAGTACTCACCTTTCCTCTTCATCACCCCATCCCGTAAAACTCATCCTTTTCCTCTTCTCATATCCAAGTTGATATTGAGGCATTCTTTTTCTTCTTTCATCACCGCCTTTCTCCTACCGCCTTGAAGACATCACCGCCTTTCGTGCGGTGAAGCCTCCATCGCGTGTTCGTCCCCTTGCGACTCCCAGACCGCCCTCTACTGCCCTGGGTTTTGCCCGCACATCGTCGATTCAATCATCTTGAGATTTGTTTTTTTTTTGTTGCATTTCGAGTCTCTTCTGAGGCTACCGGTCCTATTGAGGTGCACGGCCTGGCCCTCCCAGTCTCCAGTGACTGTGTGCGTGATTTTTCTCCCGCATCCCACATTCCACGTTTCTAATTCGAGTCCACAGAACGTATCAGCTTAGCGGGACACACTGCCCATTCTGAACGAGCGACACGTCGATTACTCTGGTCAACTGTTTACTGTCATTAGTCTCCTAATTGACACGTGAAAACCTCTCGAAAACACGTCCACCGCCACCCCCACAATGGGTCGCAAACCGAACCAACTCATCCTCGAGTTCTTCCACCGGGGTCCCAAGCTGGAAGACGCGAGTAATCGCTACCAACATACTTGCAAAGCTTGCGGCGAAGTATTTCCCAAGGGTCGCATTGACAGCCTTACCAACCATCTTGTGAAAAAATGCCAGGCGATTCCCCTACGCGACCGTCAGCGCGTGTTGTTGCGACTCCACGAACTCCCCGACTTGACCGACGGTGACTCGAATAAAGACTCCCCTTCTGGAAATAAAGGAAAGTCTGCCGATGGTGGATTTCCCAACCGGCAGAATTTCGACGGTCTCAACGTGTTGGCCGAAGCCTCGCGACAGGTGGGCGCCTCGGACGTGACCAAGCGTGGACCTGGATACACTCAGTCTGTGACAGCTGGAGGCAAGACCGTGATTGTTGACCCTGCGCTTGAAGCGGAGGGATTCCAGGGACATTCTCAAGGGTCTGACTCCAAGATCGAGGGTGCAGCAAATGCCGAGGGTATGTTTTCCTTTCGTTCACTGTTGCACGCTTTAGACCACTAACAATTCGCAGGAACTCCCCAATCGTCCAACGCTCCTAGTATTCCTGCCCTACCAAGCCACACTCCGGGCGAGCACCCTGCATCCATGTCGCCGCCCCTCGGGGATGCGTCTATGTCGCCTGAATCTACCTCTAACGCGCGGCAGTCACAACTGTCGATGATCGCGGCCTCCGCCAATGAGATGGTCCCTCAGGGAATGTCAATTGATAGTGACTCTGATATGAAGCTGAGCCAATGGAATCAGCAGCTGTCCACACATGAGCAACTTCTTTTCGACAGCCTGCAAGAACATGATCCCTCGTTGACTGCTGCCACTCAGCGTGCAGCATCTTACCCCCGCCCTATTGCGATGAACCCAAATACCCAGGCAAAAGGGTTTGTGAACGAGTTTGGTAACTCAACCAAGCCCATGAAGCCCAAGGTGCGGGGACGTTTCACCGCAGAGCGACGCCGTGAAGTTCAAGATGTGCGGAAGAAGGGTGCATGCCTTCGTTGCCGAATGCTAAAGAAACCTGTATGTATTTGTGAATCTGTGGATGTGTGATATAGGTGAACCTTACTGACCAATGTCGATAGTGCTCTGGCGATACCCCTTGCACAACTTGCGCTAGCGTGGAGAGTGCTCGTCTATGGAAGCACCCGTGCCTGCGCACCCGCCTTTCCGATGAGTTCGAGCTCTACAATGCGAGTATGTTGTTTGTGCTTTGCTCTTTTCGAATATATACTGACTCGGACTTTAGATCTCAACTCTACACTTGCCTACCATGACGTTAACAGCATCAAGAACCAAATCAAGTTTGAACACTACTCCGGTCGCATTGAAGTTACCCACTTCGAGGAGAGCAATTCTTTCATGACTTTCAGTGGACTGCAGGGTCACCGCACTTCAGTGTCTGCCCTTGACCCCCAGTTGCAAGCTCTTGGAGATGACCAATTCGCTGGACCCTCGCAAGAAGTCTATCTCCTGGATGCGGACTCGGATGACATCCCAAGCAAGTTGGAAATGTACATCAAGAAGAACGCTTCTTACTTCTACGAGCGAGAGACCTCGCCTTTCATGAAGCCCACTTTGTTGCTTGCTGCTGAACTCAACCAGGGAAAGAAGGTATGTCGTTTGACATTCAATGTGGAAACGTACATTGACATAGATACAGGATATCCTTCTCGAACGTGTGCTGGAGCTGTGGGTCGCGACCCATATTCTCGTCGACACGGAACTCACCTGGAAGACGTACTATAACCCTACTTTGCCTCCGAACTCGTTGCACTCTCTTTCTCAGCCATCGGATGAGGGTCGTCTGCCCATCGAGGAGGTGTCTGACCCAGAATCATACGGACTTCTCTGCAGTCAGTTGCGCGCCGCTATGGAGAAGCGTGCCTCGCAGCTGAGCAAGTTTGTCATCAATGATCTGGAACGTCGACTCCTTCAGCGCCAGAAGTGTGGCTGGTTTGATACTTTCATTGTAGCTATTATCCTCCTGAACTGCGTTGACCGCACCTGCTGGCTGTTCCGTTCATGGGACAATGAGAACTTTTCTCAGCGCGTAAGTGATTCTTATCTACTCTTTCATGATGCATCTCACACTAACAATCAATCCAGTGGCCCCTGGACAAGCGTCCTCCCTACTACTTCAACCAGTCTGACCGCTTCGCCGACATCCTGGAGATGCTCTTGCGCATGCGCCACATTCCTCCCAAGGCCACTTTCCGCCCGGACAATGGTGTTCTGAAGGCAGTCGAGGGTAGCGACGAGCACGCTGTTCGCTGGTTCGATATGATTCAACTGACCCGTACGTCATATCCCATTGTATCATGATTTACACATATATGAAGTTCCTTGCTAAAATTCCTGTTCTGTACAGCCTACTTCATCGAAGAGCGCAAGAACGCCGTCTTCGACCCATCCGACTCGCGCTCCCTGGATTGCCACCACAGTGCCAGTCTTCTTGAGCCTAACAATGCCACTTAGTTTCTGACAACTACATCAAAACAATCACAACAAAAAAAAAAAAAAAAAAAAAAAAAAA